CTCCCTGGGGACACGGGACTCCCTGGGGACACGGGGGCTCCTGGGGACAATCAGTGTGGTGATGCTCAGCATCTGCTCTCCTTGCAGTGCCCAAGCAGCTGCTGGAGGAGGTGGGCGCAGATACCTCGGACCCTTTCCTGCTCTCGGACTACATGCACGGTAACGTGGTGGGGTGGGGGGAAGACTACACCAAAAATGGGGTGGCATCACATCTGCACCCAGATGAACCACCCTTCCCACAACCTGTCTGCATCCGTGGCACCCACTGCTGGCACGAGCCCTGCAGCTCCATCCCAGGCATCGCTGCTCCATGGTTGAAGCCACTTATGGGTGGGTGCCTGTGTCTGAGGGGCTGGAGAAATGGGGTTCACTGGGAGCAGGGGAGAGGAGGACCCACATGGTGACATCCCCATGGGCAGAGAAGTTCTTGTGCCGTGAGGAAGGAGCGTGGTGTGGGGCAGGAGGCAGGCAGGGGTAAGGCAGCCGGGCAGTGGGGTGCTGGGGAGCACCTCGTGTCTCAGCCCAGGTCCCCTTGTTTGCTGCAGGTGGCTGGTACAAAGGGCCCAGGTTCTCCAGGCTCCGGGAAGACCGGATGATTTTTACTAGTTCTCTGGCAGCTTTTGCCCACCTTTGGGGTACGTGGCCTCCTTGGCTCTCACGCAGCACCTGGGGGAGTGGGACAGGCTTGGAGGGTGGTTCAGATCCTATGATGGCCCACGCTCAGCCCAGAGTTTGGTTCAGAGGCAACCAGACCCTTCTGGTAGGGTCTGCGAGGGTGGAGGGCACTGAGCACCCACGCTGGGTTTGGAGGGGGGGACACATAAGTTGGGAGTTCAGAGGTTGAACAAACCCCGAGGTCCTGCAGCATCAGCGGTCACGGTGCTGCTGTGGTCCTGCCCATGGACCTTCCTCTCTGACAGGCTGAATTACCCACTGGGTCTCCTTCCTTCCCACCACATCCGCAGGAGCACTGACAGGGAGAACCTCTTTGCAGATAAAAGTGTCACTTACCAGGGGAAATGACTCATTTAAATCTCTGCCAAGATGATTCTTCCCACCATGCTGCCTACCCCACCTCCCAGTGAGGGTTTCCAGTAGGACACTGGTGGGTGATGATGAGGTCCTGGGAGATGCTCCCATAATCAATGGGCCTGTCCTGTCCCTTCAGCCTGGGTGCTGAGGGCATCCCTGCTCCCCTCCTCTTCCTCCCACATGCCAGGCAGTGGTACCCACAGGCAGAAGCAGTTTGTACCCTGCTGTCTCTCTTTGCTCTTCACTCTCCAGGTGTCCCAGAGAAAGTTGGCCTCTACTTTCTTTGTGGGGTCTCGGGAGGTCTCATGCTCCTGCTGTGCATCATCAGCCCCAAAATGACCTTCCTCCAGGAGATGGGGGAGGCTCTCAAAGACCCAGAGCTGAGCAGTGGCTCAGAGCTGAGCCGGACCAAGCTGAGGGATGAGCAGGATGAAGATCTTCCCGATGACAGTTCCTCAGACTCTTCCTTCCACCGCCTCACCCGCACCTACCGGGCCACTGACAGCATCTTCAGCCCTGAGCTGACAGCTGCCATGGAGGGAGCAGTGGAGCACCAGGGCCGTGGTGGGGAGGAAATCTGGATGCCTAAGGAGTCAAGCCCGTACGCCATCCACAAGATCAAATCAGCCACCAAATAAGAACTGGAAGAAAATGGCTGGAGAGTAGCAGGGGTGGGGGGTGGAAGTGAGGTGGGATCCACCATCAGAGACACACAAGAGTTGGGGCTCCTTGGGTTGAGTGGTAGCAGGACCATGAAAAACCCAGTGTGGCCAACAACCCACTGCTCCACCAGCTTGGAAACCTCACAGCCAGGGGTAAGATGCTGTCCCAGGGCACGACAAGGAGCTGTGAGATGGCTCATGGGGCCACTGGTTCTGTTGCCACCAACGTGCTGCTAACCCTAAGCTAAACTCCCCTTTAGTGGTGAGCTTGGACAATGCTGGGTTGATGGTTGGATTAGATGATTGCAATGATCTTTTCCAACCAAACTATTCGATGATTCTCTGATTCTCACCTCACATCAGCTGGCTCTAGCAACCTAACCCTGCTCAGCCACAGCAAACCCACCCTCAGCCTTTCCAAAGCTGTTTGCTTTCTTCTTCTTGGGGTGCTGGCTTCCACCAGAGAAGCAGAGACACAGAAATGGCCAGGACGTGGGGAGGAGATGGGCAGAGCGGGTGGGAGAGCATGGTGAGTATCACCCAGCACGGCTCCACCACACCATGTGCCTTACGGCCCTGGGATCCCCACAGGACCTGCACCCCAGGGGCTGAGGCAGCTGACAGCTTGGCACGGCGCTGGCTGTCACCTCCCTGTGGGCAGCTCTGTCACCCTGTGTTGCTTTCCTTCAAGCTTCCTCCCACTAGCAAGGAGAGCCCCCCGGGGGTTAACTCGCTGCAGGGGTTTTTTTCCAGTAAATAAATGCAACAGCTCATAGACACCAGGTCCCTCCCTGACCTCTGCTGTTAAGAGTGAAAAGGGAGGAAAAAGGAAGCAGCAAAGCTCAGCCCTCCCTGTGCGGATCAGCTCCTCGCCTCCAGACAGTGCTTCTGGAGCTGGGCCATGAGGAGCAACAAGTTGGGCCTGTTTTAGCCCATGGGAAAGGATAAGGTCTTAGTCTGGGGAAGGGAAAGTGGGGAAAAGCCATCTGTGTGATCCCATGAACGACACTTCCCTGCCTTTGCTCCTTCTCTTGAGCCCCAAGGTTCTCTGGTGAGCAATCCTGGAGTGAATGTCCCCAGAAGCCATGGAGAGGGGCTTCTCAGCAGCTCCACGGTGCCAAGGAGCCAGGCTAGGCTGGGTCTGCTCCAAAAAGCAGTGTGGGCTCTGCAGTGCTGTGGGAAGAGGCTGGATGGACCAGTGACCCAGCTCTTCTCACAGCCAGGGACACTCCAGGGACACTGATGCTCTTCAGCCGGCACGTAGCAGGGTCTATTTCTGCATCCACCACTGCACATGAAGTGCCAGGGTTGGGTGCAGCAAGAGAGGACTATGGGGGATATCAGTGCACCCCTTAACCCATCATTCTTAGGTGACAGGCAGGACTAAGACCACAGACTCACCTCCATGCTTGGACAGCTGGCACAGCTCCTGCTGCAGACCCAAGAGACCTTCTGCTTCTTGGTCCTCCAGTTCCCCCCTCGACAACCAGGTGGGATTTCAGTATGTGTGGTGTGAACCTGCAGCAGGACCTGGCTCCCCAGGAGCTTCCCTGAGGAGCATCAGCACAGCAGCACCATGGGGACTGGAAAAATCAGCTCCCCCTTTGCCAAGCGCGGGCAGGACGGGCAGACACAGACCCATCCCAAAGCAGGCAGCTGGCCCAAACCCCTGCAGAGCCACGGGCAGGTTTGGATGGGGGGGTTTTTGGCTGAAGATCTTCTCCCACAGTGTTTCCACCAGCAGTGGGATGTGTCCCAGCTCTGCCTGGCAAGCATGCACTCGCCTCATGGTTTTGGCTGGAGTGTGCGTTGCCCCAACATGCACAAGGAGAAGAAGGCACCTGGATCACACAAGGATCCCAGAACAAAAGTGAGGGAACCTCGGGGAGCTCCCAGGCCAGGGATGGCAGCGGTAGCACCACAGGAGATGGGGCTGGAGAGGACAAGTGGCCGAGGAGGGAACAAGATGGGCTGGAGCTACAGCAGCCCTCATGGGTTTTGGGGATGGAAGGTACCTGAGGTCTGTGGGATCCAGGTTTAAACCCCTGCCAGTGCTTTGAGCACCCCTCAGCCATGCTGCACCCCAAAGCCTGGGTGCTCCTGGCTCTCAATGGCCCCAGATCTCCCTGCCCACACATGGCCAACGCCAGAGAATGGACTGATCCTGCCCACATGGCCCCTGGGCAGCAGGTTTCAGTCCTCTTGGAAGCTATCACTGGGATGTTTCCCTACCTAGAGGTTCATCAGCTCCACCAGCAACAGCAGCACGTGTGTGTGTGGGATTGTCCCAAAGGATTTCCTTGGATTAAATTTAGAAATCGGGAAGGTTTTGCTGGGAATCTGCCCGCTGGGGGAAGCTCTCCTCTGCTGCTGTGCTGAGCTCTGCCCAGCTCAACTCCACAAGGAGGGGTTTCCTTTGAGCCTGAAGCTTGGCAAAGTGCCCCTGAGAGCTGGAGAGGGGAAGGGACCTTCTGCACGACAGGTCAGACTTGTGCCACCCACCATCCCAAGGGAGCAGGAATCAGGTCAGAGCATCCCCAAAGCCTCTGGGACCACGGGAGCAGCTCAGACGGTGCGTGGGCAGGTCAGGGGCTGCCCAGCGAGAACCACTCCACACAAACAGGGCAGCTCCTGCCCTCAAAGCCACTTTGTGCTCCCACCAGTGTCCCCCAGTTGAGCTCCGGTGATGGGTATGGGGCGAGTGCCTCTCACCCCAAGAACTTCTCTGGGTTCAGTCTATTCTCTGCAAACCCACAAAGGAACAGGGTGACGTGGGGAGCATCCATGTGTAGGAGCTTGGAACACTGATCACACAATTAACACCTGAAAAGTGGGGTGGCTTTTCCCAGACTCATTTATCAAGGAACAAAGAAAGTTGTGGGTACAAGGAGTCTCACACACACCTTTCCTGTCCCAGGTGTCACAGAATGGCCCCGACTGGAAAAGCCCTTTAAGCTCATCGAGTCCAACCACGAACCCAACACTGACCAGTCCCCCACTAACCCATGTCCCTCAGCACTGTGTCTACACGACTCTTCAATCCCTCCAGGGATGGGGACTCCACCACTGCCCTGGGCAACCCCTTCCAATGCCTCAGAACCCTCTCAGCAAAGAAATTCTTCCTCACATCCCATCTCAACTGCCCTGGCCACAACTGGAGCCCATTTCCTCTTGTCCTGTCTCCTGGCTGGGAGATGTTTCACCAACAGCAGATCTTTGGTGAGTGACCAGAATCACATGTAACCCCATGACGTGGTAACTCTGGTTGTGGTTCTGCCTGTCACAGTGTGTCGGTGGCTGTTCCAGTGACGGGGCAGTTCGGTGACCCGGCCATTGCAGTGCAGTCAATCGCATTTTTAAGATATCCCGTTAAAAACCCTTTTACATCGTTCCTGGAGCCACCGGCGTCACCCACGGGTGACACTGGGTGATGGGAGACGCGTGGGATCCCCTCAGAGCATCGCAGACAGGGGCAGCGGGTCGGGCTGCAGGGCCCGGGGGCGGTGCTAGGGCCCGGGGGCGGCGCTAGGGCC